GTCTAGACGAGTATACCAGATACCGCCGAGAAACAGTATACTCTCTCTCTATATATACATGTATATGTACGTGTATGTATTCATGTATCTCGTCGTGTCCATGATGAGGTCAGGCCTAGGATAGAGCTGATCTGGTATAGATGCAGCTCTTTAGAAAACAAATTCTACGACCTCAACAAGAAATCCTAAGCTAAAAAGGATTCTTCTCTCTGGTGTCCAAACAAATCCATTAAGGATGGGGACGAAGAAACAGGTAAAACTGGATTATCCAGCAAAATTGTTGTTTTTTCGATTATCCACGGTTGTTTCGGTTCTACGTTATTCTTAGTACATATCAGTTCGATTTGTTTTCGATTTGAAATTTCGAAAGCTATTGAAAACCAACCAGCCCAACACTGTAGACATCTAGTTACCAACAAGTTCACTCTAATCCTTTTCCAAGTAATGGTTTGTTCTTGTGTTTGAATGCATTAAGAGTAGCTAGGGACATTGTTTTTTAAAAATTAATTTGTTTATATGTATTTATTGTTGGAGTATTAATATTAAAAATATTTTTTTAAAAACGGAGTATTAATATTAAAAATAATTTTTTAAAAATAATAATAAATTATTATTTTGATATATTTTTAAATAAATTTTTTTAAAAAACAATTAATATTATATTCTTAAACTCTCTCTGTAGATAAATTTAAGTTGAAAATACATTAAATCAATATTATATTCTTAAACTCTCTCTAGAGATAAATTTAAGTTGAAAATACATTAAATTAATAATTTTATTATTATTTTTTGATAATTTTGATAAATTGATGTCATAAATAATAAAAAATATTTTTAAAAAAATACTTTAATAATTTTTTTATTATTTTTTGATAATTTTGATAAATTGATGTCATAAATAATAAAAAATATTTTTTTAAAAAATACTTTCACTACATTACCCTGTTTTTTTTTAATAATATAAGTTTATATACTATTAACTTTATTTCATTATTACGTGAAATTATTGTACAAATGTGGTTATTTTTAGCAGAAAAATCCAAGTTTTAATCAAACAATGATTATGCCGAGAAAATTTCGATAATGGTTAAATTCTTATTTTCCAGTGTGGTGACCATTGAAAGACCATGGGTGTTTCTTTTTTTTGCTCGGAATACCACTGAAGTTTTATTTTTTTATTTTCTTTGCATACCCCTTTTTTCTCTGTGAGATTCGAGAGTATCCCGTCCATAGTTTCGAGATCTATATTCTTGAGCTGGAAGGTTTGAATGACAAACTCTGCAATCAGCTGTTACAATCAATAAATTTTTAAATCATTTATCTAGAAAAGTGAAAATTCTTTTTATTGAATGTTCATGATGATTTTTTTAACAAAATTTTTTATTAATAAAAAAATAATTTCACCATTTTTGTTTTATAAAATATAAAAATAAATAATTGACTATAAATCTTTTGATAGTGTGAATTTTTCTTTTGATAGTGTGAATTTTTCTTTCTCAATGATATCGCATATCTAAATAATTAGTTCAATTTTGTGAAATTATTTCATAGAAGATGGTAAATATCTTCTTTTTATAAAGCAAATCGATTTGAATTAAATTAACCAGGTAAATGAATTTTTTGCAAATTTTTTCGTGCTGCCTTTTTAGATTTTGTGAATGTTCATCAACATCTCCATGCATTACTCTGTCCAAAAACAACAAATCTTAAATTAACATTTTCTTGCCCCTTTCTCGTGAAAAAACTATTTTCCATCTTTACTCGATATTTCATTTTTTTAATGCGCCATAATGTTGCGATTCAGATTTCAAAAAACCATCATTTATTTATCTATAGAATCAAATAAACTTACAGTGAGTATTTTATTTAATACTTCAAAACGTAGTCGTCAATCTATTTTTACCACCTTAGAAAACACAACAAGGTTCTTGTTGCTTGAAAGCCTGTCTTGAATATCTCGATCAGAAACTGGCCTGATATTTTTTGAGTGTATTGCTGTTAAAAAATTATTTTAATTTAATAATTTAAATTATAAGGTGAGGTTTAGAATATAATTTATAATATTTTTTAATATATTTTTTAAAATAAAATGTTTTTTAAGACTTGAAACTTACATAAATTCATATTATTCTGTACTTAATTTTTATCAAATAAATAAAAAAAAACTTACATAAATTCATATTATCCTATACTTATTTTTTATCAAATAAATAAAAATGATAGGATTCGAATTTGTGACCACTTAATTATCAAAATTCTAATACCATGCTAAAGAATTATTTTAATCTAATAACTTAAACTATTAGATAATATCTCATAATATAATTTATATTATTTTTTATTAGTTTCCATCATCTTATCAAGACCAAAATAGAGAAAAAGTAGAAATTCTATTGGTTTTCATAGTAATTAAATTACCTTTTTTTCTTGAATATCCTTTCTTTATAATCAGAACTTCTGATTTTATCTACCAAGCTTGTAATTAAAACCGTGTTTAAAAATGATAATTCCTAAATTAAAAAAAAATAACATTCAACTTTGATTGAAGGACTAATTTATGATTTTTAAAAATAGACAGACTAGCTTACAAGATCATCGGAAACACAGAGACTAAATTATATGTATGTTCTTGGCTAAATAATTATAGACGATAGCATAAAACAGCGGTAGGTTCAGTGTAATATTGTAGGCATTTCTAATTTTATTTCTAGCTGGACTATAACTTTCAACCTGGCCTTCAATATATTTTTTTCACATCTTGTTTGTTTTGAGTGCATGCTAATCTATTTTAAACGTCTGGAAATGCTGCAAACTTTGAAAATTATTTTTTATAGTTGACATCTTGTTTGTATTTTACTATTTAAAGCTAATTCATGTCTTAGATTTAAATTGGAAATTACACGTCTTGAAATATTAATTTAAATTATTTTTTTATATTACATACATAGGATCCCAAAATGGAATGTTCTGGTACCGTAACTTATCATTCCATGTAAAAAGACCCGTATTTAAAACAGTATTATTACAATCAACCAGTACAAGAAATCAATTTAATGATTTATCGATTTAAAATCCAACTCTAGTTAAGAGTATCTTTAATACTGTGTTTTAAAAATCTTTTTAAAATTTAAATTAATATATTTTTTAATGTTTTTAAATCATTTTAATATACTAATTTTAAAAATAATTTTTTAAAATAAAAAATACTTTAAAAAATACCCAACCTACACATACATCAAATCCACGTGGAACTAAGTATATTTTTATTCAACTTAATCAACGTAGAAGGTTAATACATGATATGATATAATCAAAGTTCAGTAAGATATATTTGATTTAAAAAAAAAGAAAATTAAAGTTGTTATTTTTTTAGAAAAAAAACCCTAAAGTGAAAAAATTGATTTGAGCTGGCGTAGCTATCTCGGAATGCGAATCTTGGACAGGGTTTTGTAACTATCATCAGAAATTGAATTTGACAATTATGCTCCAAAGCTGGGTGGGCATGCCTGGACAGCGGCCCGGAGGTCAAAAAAAATACAAAGTCACCGCCTTGACGCGGTTGGTTTTAGACCGGATATGTTCACGATAAGTGACAGGTGTGGATGAAATTGACATCGGTTTGTTCATAAAATAACGTATCAATAAAATATTTTTTTATGAAAGCATTGTTCCGTGAAAATAGACGTTGATGGTTTATTCCATGCCTGATATTTAAAAATATAATATTAGTGCACGTAATTCATTAAATTATTGTTAGTATTATACTTGAAAACTATATAAAATTGAATAGTATTTTAAATATCTGATTCACAGTGATTTTAATGAGAATTCAAGTCTTTTTTTTCACAAAAAAATTATCGAGGAGCAACGTAATAAGAGTCAAGGTGTTTGAGTCTTGAAGGGCGAGCTAGCATGTATAAACAAGCTCAAGCGCGTGTGGCACGCCGTGATCACTTCCTCCAGTGTTCTTTTTTTTTTTATTATTATTGTTCAATGAACGAATAACAAGTCGTTTGTTTTTTATTTATTTAAACAAGATAAACGACATGTTACCTGTATCTGTAGATATTCTCTGTCGAGAAGCTGAGATTTAGTGACCGGAAAGTCAATGGCGAGTTTTCTAACCTTTAAAGCTTATTTTTTAATATTTTCACACAAAAAAAATCTTAATAACCTCCCATCACTCATCAACTAGTAAAAAAAATTAAAATTAAACCAAATAAAAAAAATTACATCTCAAAACATTGACAAGGAAAAAAAGCTATAATTTATCTTTCTATTTTTAAATTTGTCTTTTCAAATTTTAACCATAAAAACTATGACAATGCTAAAATTATTAAATCATATCACAGAGATGTTTGGTGTTATAGTTGGATCATAATTTTGAAAAGTTTTGAATTTTTTTAAATTTTTTTATATTTTTGAATCATTTTAAAGTATTAATATTAAAAATTAATTTTTAAAATATAATTTTTACTATACTCTAAAACACTCCAACGAAATTTCAACACATAAAATATCAACAACATATCACATGATGATTCAAGAGAGTTTGGCAATAAATTTAAGTCCATCCATGATATAAAAAAACAAATTAAAAAAAAAAGAAAAAATAGCTTTTATAAATAAGATATATGGCCTTCCATCCCAACCTTAATTCCTACTATATTTTTAAAAACACTCAAAAAACTAAAAAGAATAAAATTTAATCATCATACTAAAAAATAAATAAAAAACGATATTCTTATATTTATATTCATACTGTATAATCATTGAAAAATGCTGACAATAATAAACCTAGACAAATGCACAGTAATAAAAAGTAAAAAGAAAAATAATAATATTATTTTGGTTGCATAGTATACTGTATAATATAATGATTAAGGTTCCTATATTTTTATCCGAGCACGTGGTCCCGATAAGGCTCCATGGCCGATTCCCTAATCTAATAACAACAATAATGGAGAAGCATAGATGGAAGGACTCAAAATGAGAAAGAGATCTTTACAGAATAAATAATACAGGAAAAAGAGAGAGATTTTCACTCTCCAAGTCCAAGCCCGCTTCTTTCACTTCAAAACCCTATTTCAAGATCTCCCTGTTTTATTCTCTGGGCTATTTAAGCAAACAGAGAAAAAACAAAACAAAAAAAAAATAAAAAAACACAAAAACCTCACAAACCAAAACTTCCACACGCACGTCCTTCTCCTTTTTATGTCTTTCTTGAAGTTATTGTAAACCACCAACACCAACCAGGGAAAAAACCCTAAAAAAACCACCATGGATACTCATGAGATAACTAACATACTGTTAACTAAACTCAAGAGTTTAGATCCAGAAAACGCTGCTAGAATTATGGGTTTTATTCTCATACAAGTCCCTTCTGAAAAAGATTTGTTACGTTTAGCCTTTGGCCCTGAAACCCTTTTGCAAAATGTAGTCTTTAAGGCCAAAATCCACTTTGGACTCTCTACAAACACGTTTTCTACACCTTCTACACCATCTTCTCCGTTGCCTCTCAATCCCATAGCAAGGCCTTGTAATAACACCAATCCCTTTTCACAATCCTCTCCAAGAGTCACAAATAATGGTTCTTTCCTTGATTTTGGAAAAAACGCGCCTCCAAATCCCTGGCCTGCTCATGGGTTGCCAAATAATAGTGACACTAACACTTCAATTAGCCCAAAGTCCAGTCCTTTTTTGTCCTATGATAATATACGTTTTGGGTCTGTTTTAGTGCCACCATTCTCGAGGAATGGTAGCAATGACGGTGGTGATTGCAGTAATAATAGTGTTGACTTCCCTGATGAGTATCAATTAGATGATTATCTTTCGTTTCTTGACGACCCCTCTTCAAAAAATGAGGGCTTTATGGACCAAAGAGCTCAATTGGGTGGTTATCCGGTTGATAATGGAGATAGCCATTTGCATAGAAGGAGATTTTCAGAGAGTGATGCGTGTTTTGGCGCTGAAGATGGGGGGTTTGGTCTTGGGTATAAGCCTTGTCTGTATTTTGCTAGAGGTTTTTGCAAGAATGGAGAAAGTTGCAAGTTTGTTCATGGTGGTGAAAATATGGCTGAGGTTAATGGTGGTGGGGTTCTTTTGGGTTTACCAAGGGGAATGGAGGAACTTTATTTGCAGCAGCAAGAGGAGTTGATGAGAATGAAGGCTGCACAGCAACAGCAGCAGCAAAGGCTGGCTTATAACAAGTACATGAATTTTCTGTTGCAGCAACAGAATAAAACCGATAGGTATATTAAAGATTACTAATTTTGCTTTTAGCATGCTGTATGCTCGTATAACGTGTCATATTTTCGATTTCAATCAGTTCTACTGGTGGAATTTTGGTCTTAATTTGGTGTACCTGTTAATCTCGGGACATTATTGCTCACCTGAGCAATCCCTTATTTACATACAAGATGAGACCAAGGGTACGCAATAGGTTAAGTGTTTCCATCTTTCAGTTTGCTTTTATTGTTATTTTTTGGCTGGTCAAAGAAAGAACGAGTCTTTTTTTCGAGGGAGGTAGAGAAAAAATAGTCATAGCGAGGATATATAGATAGGAAAAAGATTAGAGAGAAATTCATCTTTTTAATTGAGCTAGTTTTGGTTTTCTTTTTCTTGTCTGGATGCTGTTCTAGTCTAATTGGATGATTTGATGGAACTCATTATGCATATGTTTCTCCGTTTAACAAAAAACACTTTTTTCTTATGAATTTGACTCGTTACTGGAGTTTTACTTCGGGATTGGGTAATGGTGCGATCTGTGGATGTCTGGTACTCGCAGATTGGGGGCAGCAGCAGCTATGATGGGTGACGAATTTTACAATTTCAGTCGGCTCCGTGGTGGAAGGAATGACTTTTTTGCAACGGGAATGGCTGAAAAGGCAAATTCAGCATCCAGACAGATATACTTGACATTCCCGGCTGACAGCTCTTTCAAAGATGAAGATGTTTCGAATTATTTCTGGTAAATAATCACTTTTCACTTGCCCTTCTCAAGGAATCCAGTTTGGTTATTATTGTTGTTTACTTCTACAAGTAGTACCTAGAGGTTAAGTGCTAGGAACTGATTAGATTGCCTGCAAAAAGATGAAAACATGTTTATACCAACGAAACTTAAGTATAATTTGTGAATTGTAAATGGTGGAAATTCCAATTGTTAAAAGTTAAGAATACTGGCAAACTTTACGTTGCCACTTGTCACAAATTTTTTCTTGGTTCAAGGGACGGCTTTTGTGATCAGTGCATTCCTCTGACTGATGATAGGGAGTAAAAAATAATATATTGCTTGAAGACTGTATGCCAGTGTGTATTTTTAGTTCTTCTCTGGAGGTGGAAGGAAACAATAGATGAGGAAAGAATACAATAATATATTTCTACCATTTCTGGCTAAAGATAGACGAGCATCTGATATTCATTCCCATCTGAAAAAACAAACAAACAAATGAAAAGCTGTTTGTCTATTTGAAGATGGAAGGGAAAATATATTGCTAAGCTGTGGAGGTGAGGGTTTGTAGACCATGTGCCAGTGTGTTCGGAGTCTTGTTCGGAGTTGGAAGAGATATGATCTAGAATTCCGAGTCTCTTGATGCATCTTGATAAATCAAAGAATGAAAATAGTGATTGCTAGTTGTATTTAGTCTCTGATATAGAGCTCTATTCTCTAGAAATTTTTGAAACATGATTTTGGAAGAGGCAAAAAATTGTGACATATCTTGCTTTATTTCTTGGTTGCTGCGGTCACTGTTGAGTATTGTATTTACAATGATTGCTTTATTTTTGTAGTTCTTTTGGACCAGTTCAAGATGTTAGGATTCCATACCAGCAGAAGCGGATGTTTGGATTTGTTACATTTGTCCACCCAGAGACTGTGAAGGAAATATTGGCAAAGGGAAATCCTCATTATATCTGCGAGTCACGTGTGCTTGTCAAGCCATACAAAGAGAAAGGAAAAGTAGCAAACAAGTATGGTATCTTTTCTCCGTTGATGTTTCCTTTTGTCTCTTATGTCTGGCATTAATGGTTTACTTGCCAATGAAACAACAACAGGATGCAACAGTTACTGGAGAGGGGGAATTTTTCACCTACTTCAAGCCCTTCAGGTTTTGATCCTAGAGAGCTACGTGATCTTCACCTTGGTAAGTAAAAAATAAAGAAACAAGCATAAAGTTTTGCTGTTTTTTGAAAATATTTATTTGTTTTGGACTTTTTTTTTTCTCACTTTTAAATCATACTTGTTTCTTTAATTATCTTTATTTAATCTCACTTCCTTCTACAGGAGCAAGAATGCTTTACAATACACCTGAAATTATGCTGAGAAGGAAATTGGAGGAGCAGGCAGAGCTGCAGCAAGCTATTGAACTCCAGGGAAGAAGGTTAATTAATCTGCAACTTCCAGACTTGAGGGGAGATTATGTACATCGTCACCAGCGTAGTCTGTCTGTTGGTGCTCCCATTTCCATGCACGCTCATCATACTCCCATCAATCAAGCTGACATTCTTACCTCCAATGGCAAGAACGAGATCACATTAGAAGGTTAGCATTTGAAACATATTATGTCAATGATGGAGAAGCTTTCCCACTACTAATGTAACTTTCTTTTGGCAGACAAAGGGAATTTATCAGGTGCCACTAAATCTACTTATATTGCTGCCATTGAACAGAATCTTCAGGATGAAGTGAGTGCAGCTTACATTCAGAACAATGACAATGTTAATTGCAAGGTGGAGAGCTTCACTGAAAGGTATCGAATTGCAGACTCAGGAAGGTTATTTTATATCAAAATGCCACTTTTGATTGTTCTTTTTTGTATCAAACTTCTTTAGATCTTAATTCTCCTCCTCCTCACTTCTCGTCATATTTCCTCATTTTCTGGTTTGTATTCTGTAGCCGTGGAAGCAACGTGGAACCCGATAACCTCACAAAATCATCTGAGAATCAGCACCCTGATTTGTGCCCTTATGCCAAAGCTAAAGAAAGCAATGAGTTATCTGTCTCGTCATGGTCTGAAATTGATGCATCAGTGCCCGCCACTTCTACCAGTGACGAGGCTTCTCATTGAGTTCCAATGCCAAGGTGCTATCTGCTTGCTATAATTTGACTCAATTGCAAGCGAATGTTATCTCTAATGGACAGCCTGTTTTCTGATTGGTTTTATTTTGGGATATGTAGCTAATGTTTTGGAGGTAATAAAGGTTAGTGTGGTCAAAGAGACCAACTTTACTAGGGTAAGCCACTATTCCTTCATTTGAGCTCTGTGGTTATCATCTGTTCAAATGATTTCTTTACGATGCTGAGTTGTTTGTTTGTCCATGCAGAAAAATAGAGAAGCACATAGAAGGAACTGTAGATGTATAGCCTATATGATTGATACCTGCACTTAATGGTAGAATCGCAGAGATTACCTCAGCTAGATAGCCATCCTTGTCACCAATACGATACTTACTAACAGCAACTGCATGTTACATACGTAGTGGACAGACAAACTAGTTTTAGTAGGGTTTTCTCTTTGCTACTTGCCCTTTTGTAGGTCATGTGCAGGACCACAGACTATATAGCTGGACTTTAAATATCATGCCTCTTTGTTATAATGACAATTATACATGTTTACAATCGTTTACCATCCTTGTCTTGTGATTGTTGAAGACTAACCATACTTTTAATCGGTGCCAAGAAGATTAGAATTCAATGCTCTGCTACCATGCGTCCAAGTTGAGTATGATATACTAATAATGTTTGCTACTTGGCTCTTGTTAATCAAAGTTTAGAACTTTCATCCGCGTTGGAATCATCGAAGTAAAAACGAAGCTTGAAAGATGTGATTTTGGAATTTGGTTTTGTCATTCAGAATATCAAGGCACGCTTTCAGGGAACGTATTTTTTGTCTCATTTTATTTCTTTAGGTCCGCATGTGGGGATAGGCCACTCTTGTCACATGGGTGCTGACAATGGATAAAGATGCCTCAGGGTATCCCGCTCATTTCCTTATCAGCTTTGTCGAAAGTGTTTGTCTTTTTTTATCATGGTTTCTTAATATTAGATCCCTACTGCTCTGGAAGTGTTATGTAGAATACAGTATTTCTGCATGTGCTCCTGGCTCTCCCTTGTCATCAGAGTTTTTCATCACAACTCCACATTTTTGAGTTCCATGAAGTCCCAGCATTGTTCCCCCATGAAAAATCTACCTGAATATATGTGATAAATGATGCATGTAGAGGATGTCAGAATTAGCGGCCCGAGGGGTTGTTTATCATTGACACGAGTTCTTTATCATTTACGATGTATCCATGGATCAAGGTTGACCATGGTGGCTGCTCTGAGCAAATTATTTAACCTGAGAATTTGCAATTAGTTTAGCTTTGCGAGCAAGGTGTCGAGCTAATTAATTTTCCATGATTTTTATTGTCTCCATCAGGCTAGCCCCAAGACTTTTCCCCTCATAGGATCATATTTGGATTATGTTAGCACTAGTTTTTTTTCTCCAACGTGCGCAGAGAAGACTATGGACCACCGTAGTTGACTGGTCGGTATCAATTTCATGATTTATACGGATATCTTGTCCTTTAGTCTTCAGATGGCTTTGACTGTCCTTGCCTGGGTGTGTTTCTGATGTGAACATGTCCTTTCTATGTAATTTAGTTGCCCACTTCTGGTACAATTACATCACTCCATTAAAATATCAGGTTTGCTTTTTGATTGTCAATGAGGTTAGTTTACAGGGATTTTCCAACCGTTCAGGATCTCTTGCTAACCTTGTTTTCGTCTTGGCTGCATGGTCACCTGCCTTTCATTGCCATGAAAGAAAAGAAATGCCATCGCTCTATCTACTTTGACAACTTTCTCCATACGTTTAAGAAACTGAATCATCTAATGCTACGTCCCTCATCTCCCAAAACAAGAAGAATGTCACTAAACATTGCTGGATGATACCCTCTTAACATCAACTAGAATAGGAGGACTGGTAAGAGTCAAGTAGTCTTCAAACGAGTCCCTGCATATTTTTGGGTTCCAGGGAAAATGACTACGTTTGAAGAGATGATTATTTAAAGCACTAGTCTCCAAACTAGGCAGTGATGAGCCCACCTGACGGCAGCACTATAACTGCGTGTCCAATCAAATCGGATAAGGCGGATTGGAAATTTGGCACCAAACCAAAGTTTCAGTGATGGGCGGTCTAGTTTTAGGTACTCTTCCAAACAACAGGTCCATCATCTATCATTATTCCTCACCTTGGGCCGAATTCGACCGAACCTTGTTGAGAAATAAATAACCTTCCTGAATTCTTTTTTTTTTAATTACACACATTTTTATTTTTGAGAATTTATTAAATTATTATAAATATATTAGAGCGATGCAGGGAGCACATTTTTTAAAATTACTTGGAAATATACCCAGTTCTGGTTGATGTGTGGAATGACTTGAGAACACCTTGTTCTTCGAAAGAAATCAAGAAAACAATTTCTTATTTTTGCAGATTTTGTTTTTCACACATCCCTTATTAGTTCATGTTAGCTTCAAGGAGGAAAGAAGCTCTCTTGTTTTCTTATAAAACCTCAGGGTGCAAGGTTATTAAACAAGGCTCGGGTCAAGGCTCCTGGTTCAATCAGTTAGTTTAAGTTGATTTTGTTAATACAAAATGATATGATTTTAATTATTTTTTTTAAATAAAACATTGTTGTTTTTTTATTTATAAAAATAGTCAAGCCAAACTTTAATTATATTGACTGATCTGCAAGTTAACCTATTACCTATTAGATCAGTGATCAATCATGTTTCATTATGTCAATTCCTACCGAATTTATTTTAAATTTTGATTAGGTTATGTTTTGAATTAACAAATCATTTAATTGTCATGCTAGAATATAGATTTAAAAAACATCAGTAAGATATATATTCACAAGCTATTAAAAAATTGAACACAAACTCTCTCTCTGTTTTTTGGAATAAATTAAACATGAACTTTGTAACCCTTCTTTGAAAAAGTTTAAACCACTTCTGATATGTTGCGTTTACTCGAATAAAGCATAGATTACCTTGCAATAAGTTTTTTTTTTATAGAAAAAAAGACTATTTCTAAATTTAGTTAAATTTAGTTGAAGGTTTCTCTCCATGAATTTATCTATAAACAATAATTAGAGTTGCAAATAACATAATTTATTTTTTCTGTTTCTATATGCTTTTAAAAGTATTTTTTACTTAAAAAAATATTAAATTAGTGTTTTTCGAGTGTTTTCTGATGATTTATATAATGACCTCAATTTTTATCTTACATAGTATTCCATGTATACATGATGTATTATTGTTGAAAGCAGTAATTCGTTTTTTAATTTGTTTCCATATAAATTTTGGTAATTTTTTTAATTTTTTAACATTAAATTATTGACTCAATCAATTTTCACAACCTCCAAATAAAGATTTCAACACTTTTCCATCATTCAGGACTTCCTTGTTTATAATAAACCAAGTATGAGAACAAACTTCCTTTTCTTCTTCTTCAACGTTACTCAAATGAATCAATTATTATATTATTTAAGAAATATTACAAATAATGAGATGATTAATCTAATTACAGCATGATTCAAGATCTATATATATGTATATATATATATATATATATATATATATAAAGTAAAATAAATCTAAAATATAAGTCCATATAATTACAGTCATGTGTTTTGAAAAGAAACTATTTTAAATACATCATTCATACTTAATTTATATTAAATACTTTTTTATATATATAAAATCACATTACATAGCAAAATATGCATTTGATTATAATAAAAAAAAACTACAAATACAAGATTTATTATTTGACATGGCATACAAGATTTATTACTTGACATGACACTGTGTGATACCCGGAAATTTGTATAACACCCAACACAATTAATTTATACATAATAAATATTTATTATTACATACACACGCCCTTAAACCATGCAGGTTGTATATAGTTTAAGGGCATACAAATATTTTTTTTAGTTTTGGCCAAACATTCATTCAATTACTACATTTAAAAATATCTCCAATTACCTATTAAACAAAGAACTAGTAATATGAATCTAAGAACTAGTTTCTTCAATTATCATTATCTTCAATTACCTATTAATTAGGGTAATATTATATTAACCATTATCATCATTCATCATTAGTTAGGATACTAATTTAATTAACGAAAATAACTAGTTTCTTTAATTATTTATTAAGTAGGACATTAGTTTCATTTACTAAGATAACTACTATATTTAATTTTCTATTAACCAGGCATTAGTTTTATTATCATGGTAACTAGTTTGTTCAATAACTTAACATTTATCAATGATCTTAAGATACATTTAAAAAAAAAATATTTATAATTAAATAATATTTTAATTTTAAAGTGTCAAGTATTTACCTAATGCTTGAACACATGAAATGATCTCTTATTGTTAAATGGGTTTTGCAATTTTACATGTACCAATAAGAATAATATCATTTACTATTCGATTCTCAACATATTTCGAAACTTAACTCCACATATAATTATTTTATTCTTGACTTAGAATGATATAGTGTGATTCCATATCTTTTAGCTAATCATTATTAAGTATTTAACCTATGTTTACAACTTTTTTCTTACAATTTCCATTATTAAATCTTATATTAAAAGAAATCTTAAACAAATTTTAAAGTTAGCTACTTCTAATTAACTTAATTTAATCGCTAAAAAATGATTATTAATATTGTAACCATACATGAAGTTATAAAATTCGGTTTCATGCATAGTTTGTTTATTCAAAAATCTAAAATACTAGGCTAACACATCAAAAAATACTCATTATTGCAATATCTAAAAAATATCTAACAAAATTTAATTTAACTTCTTCAATTATTAAATCATATCGGAAGTTCTATAACTTTAATTTAAATGAGATTAGTTTTATTGGAAGCTAATGTACCTAACTTCAACTTTCATGGAGAAACTTATTCTAATTTTCATTATTTTCAAGTCCTAAACTTATATGGAAGCTTGGTGATAAAGATGTAAAATTTTCTAATTTTTTCTTTTAACATACAATGAAATACTTTCATTTGTTTTCTTACAGTTCAATATAATTATTTCTCCTCTACGTAACTTATAATATCATTAACATTGTATCCTTAATAATTAACTAATTATTTTTGTCACATAGTTTTATAAATAACTAAAATTCTATCACTGAAAGCAAATTCATTTTTTCTACATTCCTTCATCTATGACACTTCAACATAACACAAAAATTTCATAATTCCCTACAATGTTTCTACTTTAAAGCCTAACCAATCTTTCCATCACAAATTAAACATAAGATTTCAATTTCTTTTCAATTCATTTTTCACATTTCAACACATGCTATAATAATTATAACCAAATAACATTCATATATTATTTTAAAAAATTTTCAATTTTTTTTCCTTTTTGTCGGTACCACCACCCTTTATAACATCATGATTTGTTTTTTTAATTGTTCATTATTGTAAGTTGTTTTCATTCATTTTTATCTCAACTACATTAATCAAAGCCAATTCTCATTTCTTTCAATTTTACTCATGAACCATGAACCTTAACGTAGAATTCATAATTTATATATAAATTTCTAGTTGT